ACATTGTATTTGACTCAGCTGAATGAAGATTGATGATGCCTCTACCTTGTCGTCGATTTTTCTGATTTTGTTCCTCTCATCTAGTGAGGCGGAAGGGAGGCTGAAAGTCGATTATGATGCCATGCAAACTCTCCGCGATGAAGGTGTCCACATTACTGCTCAAGAAAAAGATCTCGAAGAATGGCTTGCTGAAATTCGACGTAAAAAGAGAATCAAGAGTAGCGAAAGAGCTCGAGTCGATGCAAATTTAGCGGCAAATCTTGACTTGTATGGGACGTTGCTGAAGTATTGTGCTCAGCTTAACAAAGAAGCTGATCGACAATTTCGGAGGAGAGCGTACTGATGCTTGATGACAGTATTCTGGAGCGCGATGTGTCTAGTTTCGAAAGGGATCTCAGTGACCTCTTGAACACATTTTAATACTCAATATCGATGAAGTAGTTTCTGTGTTTTGTTCCTTCTTCCTTTCAACCTCAATCTCTATACCGCCCTGGCCATGTCGATGTGTGTGATCCATTGGTATATACAAGCTTGTCGATCGAAACTTCCATTTTGATTTGATAGAGTTTCCCCCCTTTTAGCCTTGGTGACTCGCGCAGTAACATTTCTCACTTATTGTGCAAGCTCAAGAGTTAATTCTTCCTTCATTGAAATTGGTACCGACGTACCTGAGGGTAGGATTGACGAAGGGACCGCAGTTGTTGACTCATTCGTTTCTAAATCGATCGTCGCCTTACTCGATGTGCCAACCGATCCGATGCCGATGACACCTTTTGATCGACCATTGATGACTTCATTGGCGTCGACGCCAACGAAAATGGGTCGAGTTAGTCTGGGAACTATCTTTGGATTGCCAGCCATCCAATCAGAAGATAGCAATGTCTCCGTTGGTGAACCCAATTCTAATGGAGCTACTTTCGAAAGGGCTAAAAGAGTTTTAGAATCCGGGGCTGAGAATTCTATTCACATTTCATCTGCATCGATGTCTCCTGTTACCGATGAAGTGGTGAAGGCCAAGTGGGCAGAATTTCTCGAACTCAGCAGGGGTGGTTATTCGTCAATCATCGCCGATCCATCAATCGAAGAAAATACCAAACATTTGCTTAAAGAGCTCATTGGCGGCGGCATTCATTTTACTGGGACCCTGGAGTTTCAAGCAAAATGCGAGAACTTCCTAGCCCAATTTCATTGTGGCGTCGACACCTACAAACAGAACCTTAGCAGGAGAGCCATGCTGGCAGTTTCGATGAGAAAATGCAGGCTCTTGGGCAAGAGTAAAACAAGTGAGGCGAAAGGGAGGCTGAAAGCCAATTATGATGCCGTGCAAACTTTCTGCGATGAAGGTGTCCACCTTACTGCTAAAAAAAAAAAGATCTCAAAGAACGGCTTGCTGAAGTTCGACGTAAAAAGAGAATAAATTGTTGAGGAAAACTCCTAATGAATTTTGAAGCTGACAAAGCTTTCTATGTTTATCTTGTGAATCTGACATGCATTCCATTCCAGGTTAATATATTTTGGAAGTTCAGAAGGAAATATCAGACTTTACAAGTTTTCAAAACTAAAAGTTCAAACTCAGAATGAGAAGTTCAGACTTTACCATAAAAGTCATTCATACTCTATTTTAAGTCTTCAAAGAACTTCAGACCCTATGAGAAATAAGTTCATATCCCCACTAATCTAAGTTCTGAAAGAAACGCAGACGCAGAAGTTATGCAGATGCAGACGCAAAAGTTTTTTAGAAGCAGAAGCAAAACTCTTTCGGAACGACCCAACATTATGACAAGTATGCATTACAACGGATAAAGTTCTACTTATGGAAACCAAGATTCTGATTGTATGGGCGACCAGAATCAGCGAGATTCAGATTTTGTCAACGGCTACTCAATCCATTTTATACAAATCTGTCCAAGATGAAGATTGAAAGATGATCCTCTGAAAACTGTCCAACGGCTAGTTTGGAAGTGGAGGAGTATAAAAGGAGATCAACGAGGAGCAAAATGAAATAGAACAAAATGGAGAATCAACAAGTCCAAAGTCTGAGCATACTCCGATCCTTTATCTTGTCTTTCTTGAGCTAAACACTAAGATCTTGAGGGATACTTTGTAAGAGTGATTGTGTGAGATAGAGAGTCCTATCATACACAAGAGTGCTGCAATTCAGAATCTGTAATTCCTCTTGATTACATAGTGAAATCTAACCAGTAGGCTATCAACGTGGGAGAGTGGACGTAGGTTTACTATAAGCCGAACCACTATAAACTTGTGTGCAATTTTTCTATCTCTTATTTCTTGCTTTACATACTGCACACCAAGAGCATTGTCTATATAAACTGTTTTGAATCTGAATTTTATTCAGATTGTACTGTGATCAATCATTTTCGCTATAAATTGATCAAAATTGTTTAAAATCACCTATTCACCCCTCTCTAGGTGATCCTTGCTAGCTGCATCATCAATAAAGCAGTGAAAGAGCCCGAGTTGATGCAAAATTGACGGCAAATCTTGACTTGTATGAGACGTTGGTGAAGGATCGTGCTCTTTCGCTAATGCTTGATGATAGTATTCTGAAGTGCGATGTGTTTAGTTTCGAAAGGGATCTTAGTAACCTCTTGAACACATTTTAATACTCAATATCAATGAAGTAGTTTTTTCGTCCTCAATCTCTATACCGCCCTAGCCTCCTCACGGCCAGTTCTGGCTTTTCTCACAAGATTACTTCGATTAGCCTCCTGATTAGTCATGAAAAATGACTAAAAGAAAAGAAGAGTTATTCAATTTTTGTTAAATCATGACCGGTCATTTTAGCTCCGCCAACATTCTCACTTCTGTGATTTGATTAATGTGTGTGTGTATTGCGCTTATAATTCATCATTCACTTCCAGGTTAACGCCAAAACATCCCTTGAAGTGGACTCGAAAGATCAATTCACCAAAATTATTGATTTCAGTGTGGACTGATAGCATATCGATAAAGGGTTGTTCCAAGCACTTTCTTCTGACATTTGCTCATTTATTAAGGTGGTTATCCGCTGGTCAAAGATGGTGGACGAATTTTGGAGATAAATCACGTGGCTCAAGATTTCAAGTCTCCATGTGTCATCAATGCATTTCAAGTCTCCATGTATTTAAATGCTTTCTAGTTCCCAAATCCTTAAAATGGTCGGGCAGTTCCAATGTCTCTTTACTGTTTTGTCTGTTTCCTAAGTCTTAGATCCCCCGTATATAGAGGAGAGTCCACCATTATAAGCAGACAAGACTTTGATGAATACAAGGAGATTTTCCTCTGTGTGAACGATTATCTTTGGAGAGTGGATTGCTTATCGGTGGTGAGCCAAGAAGCACTTTATCCTCGGCTGATAGTTTCCTTTTAGGCCCTGATGGTGAGCTTCTCATATCCCGAAGTCCTTTAACATTGGTGCGTGGTTTGTCTTTTAAACCTCGGTGGTGAACTTCGTCGATCTCGATCTTCATCCTTGGTTGGTGGCGTGTCCTTTATACCATGGTGAAGATCGTAATCTATCCTTCATTTCCATTTTACCCTTCGACATACATCCCGCAAACATACACCCATCCGTACACATAAACCAGAAAAGTCATTTCCGGAATCACTCGTCCACGCATGCATCACCTCCCAAGAAAATGAGAAGAATAAACTTAAGTTTTTATTAGATGGAAAGTGCCAGTTCCAATAGTACTGGTTTTGGGTTCGGTAACATTAAGTAAGTTGTTCACCCCAAAATGGTGAAAATTGTGACATTTGATGCAATCATATCTGTAACATAAAGTATCTTGGAACATGGAGAGGGGAAGCTTGTATGGAGTTTGACATGTGGCCCTCTCCTTCTATTGACACCTAACCCACTTTGCTTTTGGTTTTTTTTTTTTGGACATTGTGCTTCATCTTCATCAAGTTCAACTGATTTATGTAGGAGTCGATGACCACCTTATTCAGAAGATCCTCGATCCTTCTTATCATGATAGTGAGTTGCAAACATTCAGCAGCCTTTGGACTCTGCTGAAGAATTCTATAACTTCGGCAGTTGCATGGGTTGGTGAAGCTGGAGGCGCTTATAATAGCAGCCGCAACCTTGTCACTAATTCCTTTGTGTTTAGTTTCTGGTAAAATAAGACTCTTGTGCATCAACTACTTATATCAATGATACTGATGAGAGATCATGACACTAAGAAATTTTATGTCTTCTGTGATGTATAGGTACTTGGACCAACTAGGAATGGCGGCCACTTACAGTACGAAAACATATTGCGGACAGACATTGATTGGTGGAAACTATGGCTTGCTAGACATTGAAACATTCCAACCAAACCCAGATTACCATAGGTTGGTTAGTCATGAGATTTTAGCTAGAAGACCTTAATCCAACTCAACTATTACCTAGATAAAATGAAAGGAAAGGGATAAAAGAAACTTTACTGATAGCCCTTGTCACGACCTACCCGTCCTAATCGGGGGATAATTATAAGTATAGGTCTAAAGGTATTTGTCGATGGATATGAACATCGGTTGATTTATTTGAAGGACGAATCAAATGGTTCATTAATCTAAGGACCGAGGCGCTTCCAAGCCTCATACCTCGCACTACGAGAATTGTCTTTCTAAACTATGCATTCAAATGGAGTTGTCACTAGCCATGATCAAGGGTTGGCTAGAAACTCTAATCAAAACGTGGGAGTGTCGTCTTGATACGTGCGAAAATTAGAGATTCTAAGTATCGGGGACTTGATTACACTAGTGATCTAATTAGTGCCATTTCGGTACCTATACTTGATCGCTCGCTAACTAATGCACCAGGGCAGCCTATCGAGAAGCCTAAAGCTCATCCTAATTATGCTAAAAATGGAAAATAACAACCAATGTATTAAAGGTGCGCAACCAAATAATCGGCGTGAAAATAAACAAGCAGAGACCTAGTATCATCTCTAAAAAAGAAAAGGCAATCAAAAGTCCTAAGGCAAAGCACTAAAAGGTTATCTAATTTTTTTTTGGGAAACTTTTAAAGGTTTTCTCAATTTTTTACAAGTTTTAAACTAAATCTAGAGTGAAATTAACACTAATATCTAGTGAAATGAAGCCAATAACTAATTTCTAAACAATTCCTAATTTTCTGAATTTTTTGGAATTTTTGGGATTTTTTTTAATTATATTTTTAATATCTTAATATTTAAATAATAAAATAAGAATTTCGGACCGGGTCCCCTGACCCGATCCGACCCGGATCTCTGACCCGCTCGGGACCCCCTTTTTCTATTTCTTTCCTAATTATTTATTTATTTTTCTATTTTCCTTCTTTTTCTTTTTTCTTTCCCATTTTTTTACTTTTTCGGTCTTCTTCCCTGACGTCTTTTTCCCTGGACGCCTTCTTCCTCGTCTTCTTTTTCCTCACAAACTCACGCTGGGAGCTCACCGACAGCCTCCTTCCTCACGCCTCCAGCCGAGACCACGCCGGGAACCTCATCGCCCCCTGATCGCCGGCTCGCGCGGTCAACACCGACGACCGCCACCGATTCTACACCCTCGCCGCCGGCCAACGCAGCTACCGAACCGTCGACTAACCCCGACCATGAAAATGAGTCGACGAGCAAAAGTTCGATTTCCCAGCCCCCAAACTCACGGCCACCAGAGTAACATTAAACCTAAGCAACCAAACATACACGACATGGAATAGAAAATAATGAACTTACGGTGGCGGCCTCGCACCGCAGGCACCGTTGACGAAAAGCTTTCTGGCGGGTGGGAGGTGCGCACATGGCCGCCTCGAACCGGAGTAAATATGCCACAAAATCACATGAAACGAAAAAATAACTTGGAGACAGTGACAATATTAGAACAAACCATGCACAAATCGAAGCTCGAGAGCATCGATTTTCATAGCATTCATCTCGGGCCTCTCTTGAGCATTTTGTCAAACGGGTGGTAGGCGAGTTCAAACAGAGACTCAAAACTGAGATTTGGGGCGATTTTTGGCTCAAATGTGGTGTGAAATAGGTATAAACAGTCACTTATACCACTAAACTGCTTCGTTTTACAATAGAACTCCAAAAATTGACACGGTCAGGTTTGGACATTCCAAGCTTAAACTGTTTCACTGGGGCATTTTGTCAAACATGTAAGGTGCGACCAAGAAGTAGAGTCACAGGTCCGATTTTGACACGGCTCGCGGCCTATTTTCGATATGCAACATTTAAAAAAACTTCTTTGAGTGTACATCATCAAAAAAAAAAAAAAGTAGATTGAGATGTCATTACCACGGGTACTCCAATATCTTCCTTCCCGGTGCTCCTCAAAAACATATATGAAAGCATCCCAATGCTCTGTGTAAAACTGAGAGAAAAGTCCAAATTTTACTGAATAAAGATCTAGATTGTCTTGAGAAAAAAATGCACGTGAAAGGTAACAAGGAATCGAGTTCAAAAGGGAGAACAGACCAATGAAAAAGTAGGTCAGTAGAACGTAAACAAGGCATATCAAGTCTTATGCGTCCTAAAAAATAGCACTAACAAAAGCATTAACAACATGATGTATTGGGAATGCATGCTTCTATGAAGAGAACCATTTATCAGGTATATCAACTTCAATTACTTTCATGATTTCAGGGTTACAAAGTGCAACTGAGTAACAAGTAAGAAGCTGTGGGCTTGCAGCAGTACCTAAATTCTCAAATAAGTTTATATGTGAAAACAGTGGGGAAAAGAATAAAAGGGCGTTGACAATCCAAAACCATTTACAGGAGGAAGAAAGCTGCAGATAATTGAGTGAACGTACAGGAAAAACTGAGGATGGAGGAAATTAGCTAATTTGGCAATGACTCAAACAGTTAGAACGTTCTTTTGAGGATTTCATTCGATGATAGCACTCTTGGAAATATTCGAAACTTTGTATAATGACTACTTAACAGAACTACCAAAAGTGTGGGAAGTACATACGTGTTAAGCAAATTAGATCATGCAAAGAGTTATTTTTGGAAATATTGAATACAAACCTTTTCCCATCTTTTCCGTGACATCTTGAGAACACTATCACATCTGCCCCAAGCCTCACTGTGCTCATATTAAAACCATTGCCATCTGCAGTTGCAAAAGAAAGAACACCATGCTATCAAGCATATAACTTGAAAAAACTACAAGAATTTTCTTTGTAAAGAATTTTACATTGTCCAATTGTATTTGCCAGTTTGCTGTTGGCAGAATACCCCAAACACATGCACTGCCACATTTTATCTGGATCCATACCACCGCCATTATCTGCAATTAAAGGACAAAAGAGAGTCGTCATTTGAGCAAGGCTCACACAATCTACTCTTAGACAGAATTAAAAAGGTTGCCACCGATTACACTTCTAAACATATATACTGTGCACGAACCATATTAGATATAAAAATGCCACAGAAACAAAATCACATCAAATTATGATGATAAACTGAAGAAAAAGACAAAAAAAAAAAAAAAAACTCAAAAGACCCCACAGCTGTCAAATAAGCAATTCCCAAAGCTCCAAATATGAACAATTTGAGATCTATGATATAGATTATACAGTAGTTATTTATACTGTACACTATACACTTCAGTGGTAGTGAAGCCCTCATCCTGATAGAAAATAGCAGGAAAAGAATGTGGAAACAGAAACCCAGTCACTTCTAAAGATAGCAGCTCCAACAGCATCTGTGTTAAACTGACTAGATCCGTGATGTCACTGCCATCTCCACAGTCATTCTTGTTGTTTCCACAATTAGCAACCACATTATTGTCCAACTCATCACTTCCCCAGCATCCTATGATTATAGATGGTTGCTTGGTCTACTGCATGTGGACTCTTATAACCTTCCCATATCAATGGACATAAAAGTTTATCTATATCATTGACGCACAGAGCCGTTTACATACTATTCTAATTGCTTCTCATTCGATAAAATACCAACATTCCAGGCTCTATCCACATTTGTAAATACCACTTAGTACGAGATTAGCAATCTAATATAATAAAGTAAAAGTCCACCATTTCTGATGCCACGTTTTTTTTTTTTTTAACTTTTGACATTTCAGAAGTTGGTTTACGATTGTATAAGTTACAATTGATTGCCACCATACTTCCCAAATACCATCAACGATGGGTACAACTCTCCAAAAGGTGCATGACCGAGCTTAAAATATGATCCGAGCAAAAGCTTATATTTCAGGAGGGAAAACGGAGGATGCAATAAAACGGAGAGAAACCAACAAAGCAAAATACCTTCGATCAGCAACATTCTATTCCCATCTTTCTTATTTTTTAGCGTATCTATCTTAAACTATGCTGCCCCGTTAGAAACCTGAATCAAGACAGAGGAAGTACAGACAATAAATAGCAAATCTGAAAAGAACCACTACATGATTGAAAATCAATATAGGATCTACGCATACCTCATCCAATGCATTATCCAAAAGTTCTGTGAAAGCTGCAAAAGATGCACAAGCAGCTTATATAAGCTTAAAGACATCTAACTTTGAGATACAGAGGTGATCAAAGTCAGAAATATAGGCAAGATTTACCTCCAAGAGCCCACTTATGACTGGTTGCATTAGAATATAGAAACTTCGGATGAACCCTGACATGATCAATGCCCCCTGGATCATCCAACAGACATAAGAACATGTACTGGTAACACAAACACTCGGAACTCAAAGAAAGGCCACAACCACAAACAAAGACGCTGATACTCTAACCTGGGACTGACGGCGATACGCAATCCAAAAACTGAATAATTTATCAAAATATTTCCAAGCATGAATTTTGATAAACTAAAACATCAATGAGACGAAACAGAAGCAACAATGCAATGTACCCTCTCCCTAGGGTGATCGGTTCCCACCTCAAAACTACATGAGGAACACAAACACTAGGCGGTCCCCGGTTCCGGGTTCTTTTGCACACCCCTACCTTTCCCCATCACAAGCTCAACATATCTTGGCATAAAAAACGAAGCAACAATAACCTAAACCCTTTAAAAAAAAACCTTAGAGATATTTAGATATCTTCTAACAGTCCCAGAACCCAGCAGCGTCAAACATGTAAATGTTTAGGCAAACACTAAATATGACTTAACCCAAAACAAACAGAAAACACACCTCAAAACTACATGAGTCGCGTACCTTAAAAAGAAAAAGAGACGGTACAATGCGTCAAGGCCAGATTGAGGGGCGCATGGGCTGAGGGAGAGGGGTGGGAGGAGGAGAAGGATCATCAGAAAGTCTAACTTTCGTTTCGTGGTCGTGGCAAGTGGCGCCGCGGAGAAGAAGAGAAGGAAAAAATGGGATCTTGAAAAAGTTTAAACGGTGGATGAACGAATGAGAAAGAAGTAGAACAGGAAAACAAGTAATTTTGCAGGGAGCGCGAGAAAAGGAGAAAGTGACCGAGCCCCGCTGTACTGGGCGAGGAAAGAGTTGAAGGGAAGAGGGTGCATTCTGTGCGTGGTGGCTAATGGTGGTGCAGGATGCTCCGAGATGAGAATACGGAGAGGGGCAGCGAGGCGGAGAGGGACTGTGGCCGCGGCGGCGGCGGCGGCGGCGGCGGCGGAGGAGGCGGCGCCAGGGAGGTCGGCGAGAACTCGAGGAAGAAGTTGAGGATGTTCCGTTGATTTCTTTCTTTCCTTATTCTTCTTTTTTCTATGTTTGGAGCTAACCTTGTGAACGGCAGCCCAATGGGCTCGCTCGAGCCCGTCCATTATGACACATTTGCATCAAGCCGGGGGGTCGCATTGCACGAGTCGGGCTCAGTTACGGAAACTTCATTAACAAATTGGATGGTCCGGCATAAGAGGTGAGCTAGAATCTACGTTCCAAAAGTGGAGATATGTTCTAATTCCAAAAAATAATTGAGGCTTGTCTTAAATTCCATGGTTGTGGGAATTGGCCTTTGATTTGGACATCACCACGCCAACAAGACTTCACCCGCGTCCTCCACCCATCGCGTTGTCCTTCCTCACTGGCAGTTCATACCTCACTGGCAACCCTTGTCCAAGTGTTCATCTAGACAGCAGCCCTCACCCATTATCATCCATGGTCGGTGCCACACCGTCCATCGCCATCTAAGTCCTTCACCGACCGACGCCGTCCCTTATTGTGCTCCACCATCTACGGCCACTATCGCACCGCCGACGCCTCCCCTTCACCGTGTACATCCCCAGTGTCCTTGACGTTTCCTTGGTGAATAATATTCCTTCTGTTAGGTAGTGTTGAGTTTGGGCCTGAATTCTTATTGGGCCTAGTGGGCCCTATTTGGGTTGATGGGCTTATACAGCCATTTTTGGGCCGAACTCTTATGGAGCCAATATTGCCCGTGCCTGAGATTCTAATAGATTGGGCCTAGCTATTTGGGGCCCAATTCTGGTTGGGCCTAGACATGGCTCTAGGGCCCAACTTGTATTGAGCCAATATTGCCCCGGCCTGAAATTCTTTTTATTGGGCCTACATGGCTCTATTTTGAGCCCAATTCTGGTTGGGCCTAGATATTGTGCTTGGGCCCACCTCGTGATGGACCCATATTGCCTGGGCCTCTTTTGCTTATTGGGCCAAATGGAAGCTGTTGGGTCCAACTCATATTGGGCTCAAATGGGCTGGGCCTGAATTCTTTGTTTATTGGCCCTCGATGGACGATTTTGGGTCTTACATGTAATGGGCCCAATGCGGGCTCAATCAGACATTTCCTCTCATCGAGCCTAGATGGGCAATATTTAGGCTCCCCTCAACTTGGGACCAATATGGATTGGGCCAATACGTCACCTAGGTTTGTTAGGCCTAAATCACTCATAGTTTCTTGATTATGGGCCTTGTTAATTGCTGGCCAGAGTGCTGTTTGGGCCAATTGGGTTGCTTCAAACTCTACTTGAAGATAGAAGAGTGGTTGCTTCCGGGATGTGATTTTGAGGCTAAGTTGAGAAATGCATCTTTAGAGAAAGGCCAAACACCATAAATAATTTAAATAAATAGAAAGTTCTAAATCTCACAATGTCAAGCATCTCAAACAATTTGATTCGGAAAATTTTAAAAAAAATTATAATCATATATATTTTTACCAAATTGGACCAATTTTTTATGGGGCATAACTTTTTCATTCGATATCCCATTAACTTGATTTTTGCACCTACGAAAAGCTCATGAACCAATTATTTAAAAAATGTGGTTCGAATTTCAAAAATATGTTTTCAAAAAAAAAATTTCTCTAATAATCATTTTCCCAAAAGACGAAATCGCATTTCAAGAAAAATGCTTTATGTGAAGAGTGGTAGCTGTGTACGTTGCTTTATTGATAAGCATTAATGCCTCTCTCACTCTAAAACCAACAGCTTTGTCTCTCAGTTTTCCCAAAATTCCACCCTCACTTAGCCCTTATCCTCTGCTGGAAAAATGTTTATCTTTCTCTTTTTTTCCCTCTTAGTTTCCATTCCACCGTGGATCTTCCGCCATTTAACTTCAATCTAGCTGAGAGGCTCTTCAGAAAAAAAACACCAATAAGTGTGTTTCTCCATACTCTCCAATCAGTGATATGGATTCTACATTAAGAAGCAGTTAAGCCCTACGATCCTAACCCAAGCGTTAGTGAATTTTTGTTTGTGTATTCATATAAACCGCACATCTTTAGATATGTCCCTCTCTATTCACTGTCTTATTCTGATTCAGAAAGTCTCACCTGCATTTTTGACATGTTTTTCTCCTTGGGAATGCAGCGAAGCCATGCTAGAGTTAAACCATAGGATCCTTTAATACATGCGGGAGTTGGCCATATCTCTTCCTCTCTGGTCCCTCCCGATAATTAGAGTTTTCTAATTATCTAAATTACTTAGGTTCAATCACGGCGATCAGATTTTCAAAAAAAAGGAAATATCATGACCGTTCATTCGATTCGATTCTTGAAAATTCGTGATGCCAATATTTTTTTTTTTTGAAATTCAAACCACATACTTAAAATAATTGTTTCATTGGCTTTTCGTAGGTGCAATAATCAAGTTAATTGGACATCGAATTAATAAGTTATGAACTTAGTTCAAACTTATAATTAAAAAGTCATAAACTTGGTAGAGCCGCATCTCCATAACGCTCCATTATACCTTAGTATTTACTTGTCAATCCCAGAAGAACCAAGCCCCATATATATACCATCATTATTTAGTTGTCAGCGAAGGAAAAAGCTAGTAAACCGATCATCTATTAATAATCATAGAATCATCTGAAGGTGGGTATTTTTGTAATGTCGAATATTTTTTAAATGATAGTCGATTAAATTGAAGAGAAAATTGACAACTCCTCCACCTCCTCCGCCCACACCATCATTGATCTGGTCCTATGCGTTTCTCTCTCCACCTCCACCACTGCAATCATCGCTTCGATATCTCTTGCTCGGAGGGCTTGGCTTGCCTTTTTGCTGCCTTCCGACCCAGATTTGCAAGCGGAGTAAGTTTGCTTTTTGTTTCTTTTCTCTCTCTTTTGGTTCCTTACACCGGAACGGTATTGTGCACGTGTCACGCCATGACGTTGCTGAACGACGAGATAGTGAGCTATCTGAAGGCACTGGGCATCATCTTGTCGTTTGATAAATGCATGCTTGGTTTAATTCTCACAATGTCAAGCATCTCAAACAATCTGATTCGGAAAATTTTGAAAAAATGATATTTATATATTTTTTAACCTAATTGGACCAAATTTTGATTGGGCATAACTTTTTCATTCGATGTCCCATTAATTCGATTTTTGCACCTACGAAAAGCTCATGAACCAATTATCTAAAAAATATGGTTTGAATTTCAAAAATAAAAATGTCAGGATTGCATTTCAAGAAAACTAGTGGATCGATGGCTTTTCTTTTTTCTTGTTTTTTTGGTAGCTCTTTGAGGGAGGGGGACCACTTCAACCCCAAAGGAGGAGAGACTAAAAAGGCTGCTCCAGATTTGCCTTCGCCTCCGCCTTCACCTTGTCGGCCGATGGTATGATTACTAGAAACATATAATATTTTGAAAAATAAAAGAGAGAAAACATTTAATGGGATTTTGTGGGTATGCATTGGGTGACGTGATGCTGGTGGAAATATAATACAGCCAGTAAAAGTTTCCCTTGATTTCTTTGGTGCATGTTCTCTTCTTAGCTTATAACTCAATTCGAAAATTAGGTACTTTTCTGTTCTGACTCGAATGCGACACTGCTCATGAGACATTGCAAAATGGCCTCTACTGCGTGAGAATTTGTGCTATCAGAAATTCATTTCCTCAAATATATGTAAAATGTTATTTTTAGAGAGCGATATTTTCCTTCAATCTGGCTAGGGGGAATCTAACCGGTGGGTTACAAACATGGACGTCAACCACATTAATGTTCACTTCAGAGTAGACAATGTCTGCAACATATAACCACCGACTAAAATGGTGGGTGGAAGAAGTTTTTCGAAAATGTCATTCTTAAATTAATTCAAAACACGACAATTTCTATTGGTCATGTTCGTTTAAGATTTTCGATAAAGTATTATCCATTCGGCACTCGTCAAATTGAGCGAGACTCACCATAGTCATAAATACTTTAACAATTTAGCTACATTTTAAGGCTATATCTATTCACATTTTATGTTATTTTATTTTTTTTGGTTTATATATATATATATACTTCATTTAATTGGTATGGTTCAAGTTATGAACATTTTCTATATGCAAATTTGACAATATATAAATGTAGGTAATCTCACCAAAAGATGACTTCAATGCAAGCACCGGGCTTACAAACTAGGTTTTCCCTTTTTTTTTTTTCAATAATGTAATGTCCGGTTAGAGCGTGTTTCTTGTTATCCCAGTCCATACTAGATTGCGATCGAATATTAATAATTCTTGGTTC